TATATATATATATATATAATGAATTAAATAAATTATGTTGTGGACCCTTAATGCTTACAACAATAAAGATGTGAATTACAGGCAGAATATTTCACAGTTTTACATTACTTTTAGACCTGAAGTATGTGTATTAAGTATTTTGATGGGGGATGGGTGAATGTCATTATCTTTGCCTTACTGTATTAATCGGTATATATATATATATATATATATATATAATGAATTAAATAAATTATGTTGTGGACCCTTAATGCTTACAACAATAAAGATGTGAATTACAGGCAGAATATTTCACAGTTTTACATTACTTTTAGACCTGAAGTATGTGTATTAAGTATTTTGATGGGGGATGGGTGAATGTCATTATCTTTGCCTTACTGTATTAATCGGTAAAAAAATGTGTAAAAAAAACTGCAACAACAAAAAAAGAAAACAAATTACCAGAAAAAAAAATCCAGCTAATTGTTGGCAATTCTAAAACCAGCCGATTATATCAACCGGCCAATTCATCTCAGGCCCTAGAAAGAATTATTTATATACACACACACACACACACACACACACACACACACACACACAGTATAAGTCTGTCTTCAATTGACAGTGTGCCAATTCTGTGGTTGTCATACCATGAGACGAGCATGGCTGATGTTCCACGTCAGTGTGGTCATCAATCTTTTCTGTGGGTCCACAACAGAGTCCTCCACGATGTACGCGCAGCTAGCCATGTGCTTTGGAAGATAGCGCTCCATCCAACGCGGAGCACGGCTTGTTTTGGTCAAAAGACGTCTGGAAATGAGGCAGTTGCCTGGAGTCACCTCTCGGAAAATGATGTCTTCAGTCAGAACATGGTTACTGAAAGACAAACAAAAACAACTACATTGATCAGACTATTTGGATTAATCATTCAAGATAACCAGTGACTGGCTGGCAACCAGTGCAGTGTGGTGTGGTCCAGGTGGACCATGGATGAATGGTACCAATGCACCTATACCTCTTTTGTCAGGCCGAGTAATAATACAAGTACCGGTACTTACATTAGAGTACACACCCATACAGAGTACAGATTCTTGATAATTCTATTACACAAATACTGAAAAAAAAACCACACTAAACTAAATCATTTCTTGACCATGACAGAAGTTTCACTCACATATAACGTTTGACATTTCATGAATTCATTCAAACTGGGGTGTGTAGACTTTATATAACTACTGTATGGTTTCCAAGCTACCAACATGTTGCAAAGGGTTCACTACCTCACATACAACTTCACATGAGAAAAGACAGTGCTGGCAACAGACATGCACTAGTCCTGCCATGAATTTTGACCGAATTGTGGAATATCTGAAATGTAATTTATTGTGGATCACATATTATGTTCATGTCATATGTTAAAAATATATATTTAATTGTATTTCAGTGGAAGTTTAATGGGGGACTGTTCAAAGCTTGTCTTGTATCAGGAGGATTGAAGAAATTCCTTACAAAGAAATAAACCAGAAGGCTGAAGTTGTGTTGTCATTTGCTTTACGTTTCACTTTCAGCATATTTTACGGAAACTGAGTTAGGTCAACAAACATGATGGCTGGAGAGGAGTCTTTACTTTGACCTCACCTGTAAGGGTTTGGATATCGTTGCCAGAAAGCAACGCAAACTTGGTCCCAAGAACTTTTCAGCAAACCTGCACAGCAGAAATACTTGACCATTGTTCCCTCCAGTTGGTATGGAAAAAAAACTGTGGAGATGAAACGGAAGTTGGGTTGAAAAAAATTAAAGAGGAACCAATGGCCGATTTGAGAGTAATTAAATGGCTGTGCGACACTTTGTCCACTCGCCTTACAGCCAATACATTATAGTTTCGTTTCCCACACGAGAACTTTCATCGAATTAATAAGATAAGCGATTGGGATAATGGATGGATGGATGGAAATTATGTTTAACATCATGGCTGTCATGTGTCACGTCCGCACTCTTCTACTAACATAGTTAGCACGCGCTAGCATAGCAAAATTATGAATGAACGACTCGAGAACTCAGCGCGATCTCATACCCATGATCGATAATGATTTCAGAGGAGAAAATAGTCACCTGTACGGCAAAACTCTTCATAAGACGAGTATTTTCATGTTTTTTTAACTCTGGGTTGCAATTACCCATGTGACAAAGACTGCACTGTCAAACGCCACACGGAAACCATAGAAGGTCACGACGTGACGTCATATCCGCTCACTGTGAACCTGCGATATCTACCTTCGACCACTTGAGGGTAGAAAAAGACTGCGGTGGTATTTTGTAAGAACCCAACGTGCATCCACTTCACCTATTCAAGAACAAGAAAGTACGCTTTCAAGCATACCAGGCCAGCAAAATATGAATTAATTTTATGTATTTATTTTTGATTTGACTGATTAGGTTTGGGTTGTTTTTTTATATTAACTGTAACATTTTGGGATTCTACTCTATGTATGACTGAAAGGCATTTGTGGAAAAAAATAAATAAAAATGATTCACAGTACTTACATATAGCCTGCCCACGATCACTCACGTTGTCAGTAGCCATTTCCCCTGCAATTGGTTAATTGATGTCAGTAAAAACAATTAACATATACATTGAACTTTTCTTTTCAATAATTGGATTAAATAACGGGTTAATTTATTACATCTGAATGAATTATATAGGAATTACGCTACATTTGTTATCAAATAAACATTATAACGTTTTTTAAATTTTTTTAAAACAAACAGTTTGACATATTTAACATATTTCAACTTTTTGTTTTCCGCCTATGCATGACCTGGTCCATCTGTCTATCTCTAAAAGCAAAGGTTTACCCACAAAGGAGGGTTGTCAACTTTATTGAGATGGCCATCCATCCATTTTCCACTGTATATGGATCTTCATCACTCAGGGGCATATTCTCCCTAACTCAGAAAAGGATCGCAGGTGTGCACTTTTTTGGCTGGTCCTTCCATCCACTTAAGCGTGTCACTGGCTTATGCACCTTCATGGAATGTATTCATCTTGGGGAGAGTGACACTGAAATGAGGGTGTTTCCTGTTAAAGTGTGGCTAAGAGCGCATATTCCCCCAAAAATTTAAGCATCTTTTACTTTTTCACCCCAGTGGCAGTATTAAGTTGAAAAGGTGAAACATCACTTTGTACATATTGTTTCAGGCTGGGTGACAGACAGCGCAGCTGCTGACTCATGCTGGGGCCTTGAAGTTTGTCTGGAAACAGCTACTGCAGTCATCGTCATGGTGGTGATGGTAAACTAGGTTTGAATCACTTGTTTTTATTTGATCTATGCAATCCCGTTAAGTGACAAGCCCGGTGTGTGGCATAAAGATGCGTTTATTCATAAGCATAGTATTCTGATTACATTACCTTTCTTAGATTTATTCAATAACGAACGTAAAAACACTTGCACCTGCAAAGAAGCTTGGTAAATGAGAGGCACGCATGTCACTGCCGATGATTATCTTAACTTCGGTATCTGCTATGCAGCTTAATTTCACATTTACATGGTGATATTTTTCCAAGTGGATCTCTCTGGAATTCATGAAAACTCCACGATCTGGAAATTAGGGCCACCTTCAGTCTTCCTCAACTCACAGTTCCTTTGTGGTTGCGCACAAGTTTCCAGGTTACATGTGGTTGTGTCAGAAGTTTGGACTGGAGAATTGGCGAAACTTGAAAGTGTGCAAACTCTCCCGTTTAAAAAAAAAAAAAAAAAGACTTCAACGCAAATGAGAGAATACAGCCCTAAGTCAGCTTCAGGCTCCAGCTCCCTACTGCCCTGAACAGGATAAGAGGGAAAGTCAAGTCAAATATGCTATTTACAATATGTTCTAGGGCGGCCCGGTGGTCGAATGGTTAGCGCGTCAACTTCAGTGTGCAGAGGTCGTGGAGGTTGCATGTTCTCCCCGTACCTGCGTGGGTTTTCTCCGGGTACTCCGGTTTCCTCCCACATTCCAAAAACATGCGTGGCAGGCTGATTGAACATTCTAAATTTTCCCTAGGTGTGAGTGTGAGCACGGATGGTTGTTCGTCTCTGTGTGCCCTGCGATTGGCTGGCGACCGGTTCAGGGTGTCCCCCGCCTACGACCCGAAGACGGCTGGGATACGGCTCCAGCATCCCCCGCGACCCTTGTGAGGATAAAGGAGATCGGTAAATGGATGGATGGATAGACAATATGTTCTATGAGCCCCCACTAGTCTTCACACAGTATTCTGATTAATATTACATTTGTAGAATGTGAATGAAGCAGCAAAATCGACTGGTTTTATCCATTTCATGTGAATGAAGCAGCAAAATCGACTGGTTTTATCCATTTCAGAGCGGCCATTGCTGTCGACTGAAAATCACAGGCTGTGTCCAAATTCACAAGCTGCCTCCTGCGCAGACCGCATTTTCAACCACGATGTCACTTCCGGCGCAGCTCGACCACATGTAGTTTCCAAGCTGGGTCCTTCGACACCTTCAAAGGCTCCTCCTCATGTAGGCTCTGTGGACTGCATAAACCGTGGTAATTTGGATACCATATGCGGTGGAGTTGCTAAGTGACGTCATGCGGCCGAAAATGTGGCCTTCGGAGGACCCAGTCTGTGAATACCGACACAGCCATAGTTGCTCAGATTTCAGGTAATGACCAATAACGCCTTACCTGTTTTTTGAGTTTGGTTATCTGACATTAGCAAATTTAGCTGCGATTGGTCTTTACCAGAACCCTGAGCAACTGCGATGTAATTTTCAATCGCCATCAAATGGCCACCACCGAAAATGGATAAAAAACGGGTGGATTTTTCTGCTTAATTCATATTCCACAAATGCCATATTAATCCAAATATGGCGTTTAGACTCGTGGGGCCACAAAGAACATATTTTGAAAAAAAAATTGACTTGACTTCACCTTTAAAGGATGACTGAATAGTAATTGGTCAACATTTTCTCCAAATTATCGAATGGTGTGATATTAGTGTGAATCATTGTCACCCTTGACCATAATGAGGTCAAGCGTAATAAAAAACGGATGGACTGAAAGTCTAATAATCATAATTGGTATGTTTTTACACCAAATTCACAATTACTTCACAATTAGTTATTATAAACCTCATGAAGGATTGTTTTCAGTGGACTGCAAGAGACAAATGTTATGTAACAGTAGAAAAAACACACACACAAAGCAGCATTATGGTGCATTGGACATTGTGAATGTAAATCCTACTAAAATGGCTACTTGGTTTCTCTCTTTTAATTATAATCACCTTCATGTGTTTTCCACAAGGGAACAGATCTCTAATTAATTCTGCACATAGACAGTATTTCTCAAAGCATTGGAACAAACATCAAATGCAAGGCACAAGGCATGCCCACCCCTCCCCCCCAGATGATATAAGTCAAAGACTCCAGCTTCTATATGTGAGTCTCTGACATAAAGGAATATGTAGGCTAAGCCATAAAATCGGTCCTGTGGGTGTATAGCTATCCCTACTCTGGCTACAAGCATTTTCTTTGCAGGAAAATAAAAACACTTATACAAGCCACAATAGTTCTGTTTGTTTTTCCGAATGCTTTATTTGCTGTTAAATCCTCAGCTGCATTGTTCAGAAAGCCATCCAGAAGTTTATGGAAGGAGTTTTTTAGCTCAACAAACAGTCCCCTTTTCTGGCTGTCAGTTTAGATGATTACCAACACACTTCTTGAGAACCTTGACACAGCTGTGAGCAGAGGTTTCTGTTTGACATGGTGTCACATTTTCCGAGTGCCAGTTTAGCTGGGTCGAAGGTGTGTTGTTGATAAAACACAACCAGCAAAGCGCATGCAGTTCTGCAGCTGATAGTCTGGGCGATAAAAAGAGACAGCAAGCGATTCTTAATTTAAATCCTTTTTAGGGGCCCTTTCGAACATTCTCCTCGTCACCTCATCGCACTTCATTCACATGATCTCGTTTCTCATGTTCCGTTAAAAGGAATCCTGCTGTTGCATCTGATCTGAAGCGCTCTCAGGTCAACATAATTAACTTCCTGTGGAGGCAGAGAAGCAGCAGCAGTTTTAGTGGATGCCTTAGATTCAAATGTTACTCAATTTGCAGTAAAAGCTACCACAATAAAGTCAGCAAATTAAAGAAACGAGTGTTTGAAAAAATAAAATTAGCCTTGTAATCACAAGAAAGCAGCTTCTTCCAACAGGAAGTAGGGACAAATTACTTGACCAATGCAGCTGACTTCATAATTAAGTGGACATTGCTTACCAACAAGTCATTTGCATTAATAAGGAACACATTGGGCAGATTACAGAAATAATGAACACACTAGTGAGCATCATTTGAAAGCAGTGGGTTCACTATGAACATTGACAAATGAAATAATTGCTTTACATAAAGCAAGACGCAAACTCAAGGCCAGATCAATGAGGCCAAAAGGTTCCATTTGTACCAGGGATGGGCATAACAACCTATTCATCGATGAATTGATCTCAAGGAATTATGACAATTGTGTGGAATCGATTACAGTGGTCAAAACGTTTGCTTTTTTTAATCAGAGATGCAAGTAAACTTTTCGAGATGATTTTACTTTTATGATTTTGCGCCTTTTCAGAATCTGCCATTGTTTATTCTCTCTGTCAAATCAGGTTTTCATCTGAACAATCGAATAACAATAACATAATATTGTATAGTAATATTTTTAGTTATATTTATGAATTAAGGGTTTAGCTCCGCAGGTGGAGTTTTTTTTTTTTTACAGAAAGTTCACAGCCATAAATTACAACGCATGGTGCAAAGCATTTAAGGCCAAGCTTAAATGCAATAAACCTGATGTGCAAGAGCAAAAGTAAACATCTTGAAATCAGTGTCCAAAATATTTTTAGGCATACATAAAGTCTTCTCTAATTAATATTTAATGTTGGCCATTGTTATTGAATAATTGCATCTTGATGGAAAATGGAGTGCACTGCTTGGCTGCAACCAGCAGAGGCGCTGTTGATTCAGTCTAAACTAGTTTGGAGACTAATGAAGAACGCGTGAGCCAGGGGCGGACTTACCGTTAGGCAAGGGCAGGCAATTACCCGGGATCCCGAGATTTCCAAGGTCCCCCTAAATATCTCATAAAAGCGGATTTTAAAAGCTTTCTTTGATTTAAAGCCGTTACTATTGGATTAGGTTTAACTCACATGCTTAGAAACACATCAAAATGCCTAATCTATCATCGTGTCAA